CTCATTTCTCGGAGGCAAAATGAGCAAGAACGCTTATTTGTACGTCATTCTAAAGAGAAATAAATGGCCTTTTTAGAAAGTAATCCATGGATGGGGAATTGTTGGCAGTTTTCTCAAAAAATGCTTGAAGTCAAGAAGTTTTAGATTTGCGTGGTTTTTTTTGAGTTGCAAAATCCACTTGAACATGACGCTGCTTTTTTGGAAGTTTCTCAAGAACCATTCGAGCCACATAATTCGTTTTGGCATAGTTGGATAGAGAATTGAATGGGGGGGTCATGTCCCCCATGATCCCCCCCTGGATCCGCCCTTGGTTAAATAACAAGCGAGAAACAGGAACACTACTGAAAACAATCAGTCAATCGAATAAAGTGAGGAAATAATAACGAAAGAGGAAAGAAAGACGCAAACAACTCCGAAACGTAAACCAGAAATCGCAATCATTTAAAAAATGCTGCAATTATCATTAGCTGACACTGAAAGTGGATAAATAATAAACTTTTGATGCCTCCGTTTATCGCGTCCCGAGCTGACATCTACTTCGGATTATGATGTCCAGGTTTATAAACCGCCGTAATTTAATAAATATAACGCCGGTTTTACGAGCGCAATTTTCCCAAGTTATCGATTGTTCGATGTGATTTCCAACTGGATTTAAATCTTATTTTCAAGCAAAAATCGCGGTTCAGCTCCCTAGGATTTTAACCAGCGAAATGTTTGGGAAGTTAATCAAAAGAAAACAGCCAGCAAGTCAAATAAGCATGTTCCAATAGACTTACATCGAAAGCTGATCCTCCATTCCAAAGTTCCAAAGCATCTTGCTTTAATATTTGTTTGCTCAATCTGATGGCTTACAATAAACAGTGCCAAATCACCAATGGTTTATTTGCATTTTAAATAAATACTAGAATTTATGCGCTTTTCAAATAGCACTTCTTCTGAACATCCAGACATTTATTATGATGAATTTTCACTCGTAAACCGCGACCTGAACCATGTCGGTTTATTTGCCTGTTCGATATTGAGACGATTCCTCTGATCGGGTTTTGGTTTTTAAAAGCGATGCCAACGATCCTCAGATGATTGGCTCGGATTGAATTCGCTTAACCAAACGAGGAAAAACTTCTACTTTCCGAGAAAGTTTTTAATTTGATCCAACCTTACACACAACACTCACAAAACCCACACACTTGCAACTAACCCCTGGTGACTAACCCCGAACCCTGGCCTCCTTTGCCGTTCTTCCAGCCACTGTTGTTCAACACGCTCCAGGTGCGGTCCGCCCTCGGCGCTGCTCAGCGACGGAAGCTCAGCTTCAAGAATGTCAGCAATGTGGTAGTGCAGCTGCTCCACTCGATCAAGTACTCGATGGAGGTGCCGTTCAGCAATATGGCGCTGCAGCCCGAACTCAAATCGACCAGTACCCGAAAGGTAAGATTGAAATTTTATTAGTTTTACTCAGAGATGTTCTATCTGAGTTTTTCCATTATAATTTTCGAGACGAAATAAATTCTGATAAATTTTGGGGGACGTTTTTTACTCTGGCATGCTCAAGCACAGAATGCACGCCAGTTGCACCAGGTGCACTGGATTAGGCCTGGGTAACTCAGTTAATTTTTAGGAGTTGGCGCAGTGCTACGCAAATGGCTTGGTGCGCCAGCCCAACGCACCGCAGTAACTCAGTTTCGTTGCTGGGAAAATGTTTGACTTTTTACTTGTTWTCACATKTATTTTAAGRGYCRTTTATTAATCTCTCTATTAATAAAWTTCTTCRAAATTTCAGAATTTTYCAGTYTCMGCCAAATTTTGTATTTTTTTTGTAAAAYTTTGCTTTCTTCTAAATGCTCAATTTTYTAAAGTYTCACTTAAAAATGCGGACAATCTAAAGGKATTTTCASCGAAAAATTATGAAATAAATTTCGAATCCTTCGTCGCTTTGTGAAAACKMAAAAAAMAACRTMATTTTCTGATGATTTTCTTCTTTCTGACAATAATGSGGTCTTTTCAGCCAAAAATGACAAAACATCAATGTTGCTAAAAAATTCGTTTCATTCATCGGTTTGCAGGAAACTTTAGAAACCCCATTTTAGCTTCRAATTTSKCACAAAAACCAAATAATTTTATTCAGTTTTTTACTGAAAGTATTTAGGATTMTCTTGGAAAACGACCAGCGAGCAAAARTTGACAAAACGTTTTTTGGAAAATTMTTCGCSCATCGCTCATCGCTTTGAAGTTCCTTTMAATTTTCAGGTCATTCCAGTTTTAAYAAMGTTTCTATTAAGCAATTTTTTCTACGCAAAAATCGCATTATTTTTTAGTTTTACTTAAAATACTGACAATCTTCAGRYAWTTTCTGTGAAAAATTATAAGATAYATTTTATTGCAACACTCGCCTTCTTGACCKYTTTGCAAAAATGTTTGGAAAACTTTTTCGAATTATGGACAATACCGTAATAATTATTTCTGCGTGTTTTTTTCAAAAATATTTTCCTGAGCTGAAAAAGCGAAAGTTTATAATCATTTATTTGGAAAACTCTTGGAAACTGGGGTTTCYTCACTTTTAGSTCAATATTTCTAAACAACTCTAAAACAGAAACYTGCGTTTTTCCTAACGTTTTACTGTARAATACCGACAAACTGAATCTTTTATGCAAAAAAATTAAGAGATCGATTTTACAAGAAAACTCGTCGACTTTCTTTGGACTGAGTTCGGTTGCTGGCAAAATCTAGATTACTTTTTTAGTTGCTTGAACAAAGTAGTAAGACGTTACTCAGAAAAAATGTTGATGACCTTTTTTTAAATGTGAAAATTTCAGTCTCGTAAAGCTTTAATAAACTTACAACTCATGAACCGATGAGTTATAACTCGTTAACTCAGAGAGCGGCAACAACTCAATAGCTCAACTCAACACAGTGTTACCCAGGCCTACACTGGATGGGCAGCGAGCAAGAAGTCACTGAATCGGCACCAGTTGAAATGATTGCTATACGTTTGGTACATGATGAGGGCGTTGAAAACGTTCAAATATTCGACACAAAGTAGCAGATAGGGTTGATGAAAATGCACAAAAATGCCTATTTTTGACTGAAATTTATCCAACTTCCCGATTGTTGCCGAAGGCAAAAGCACCGCTGTTCTGCACTCCATTGAATTTCGACTCTTCATATGTCTTGAAAGCAAATGCATGCCTAACTATGTAGATTGGTAGTAGGTGTATCTTGAATACCAAATTCCTCAAAAATCACGTCGATAATACCAATACCTATTCACATTGTTTGAGGAATTTTCACTCAAAACTAGCATGTGCATTGTTAAAACATTATTAGCGGCATGAATTTGGTAGCTAATCCCCTGGTATTAACTTAGATATAACTATTAATACACACTTTTTGATGGGCCACTTTAAAAAATGTTTCGTCGTAAAGCGTAGATCTTAAGTGAAATGAATTAACCAGAACAACATCGATGCTTAAAAGTTGCATGATTGTATCGTTTGTATTTCTAGGATGCGGTAAGTGTACTACCACCTAACCACTAAACAGAATCTAGACATAGAGAATAGATAGTCTGAGTAAGCAAGAATTAAGTATAGTGGTAAGTGTTTTCCTTCATTGTATCATCATCAGGTTCAGTTTACATTTTACTTTCTTTCGAAAGTGATTTTCCTGGCACTTTTATCATTTTCTGTTGCCCTTTATACGGCATTTTTATTTTCCCTCAATTCACACATGAAAAAGTGTTTTTCCTTCGATCACAACATGCACTACACCGCAGCAAATCGGTCTGTTGAGAATCTATATTGATTTTTGCTTTACTTTTTTGGATTGATCAGCCACTGGTAGTTGCAAAATGCACTTTATTATTAAAGTTTTACGATTTTAAACAATAATTGCGAATATTTTTCAAAATTCGTCTCTGGCTCTGGAGGGAACTTGGTGCCCTTTGGAAAACAAAAAAAAAATATTTTTCACATTTTATTTTAGTCATGAAAAGCATTAAAGAGATAGAAAAACATGTGTCAGGTTCACTAATAATTGCAGGCTGTAGTTAAATTAATAGCAGGCACTACTTCCCTTTTAAAGCAATGTTATGGCAAAATAAGGCGCTGTTTGCATTATAAAATGTGTTAATGTGTCTTTGCCGGTGTTAAATCAATCATTTAAAAGTGTGTCTTGGGAATAAAAAAAGGAATTTTTAAAAAGTGCTTTGAGAAGTCGGCGATGCATCAAGGTGGCACGGAATCCACCGAAGTAAAATATGAATCAAGGAATCAACTTATGCCAAGCGTAAGGCGAGCACAAATAACGGCAGGCACAAATCTTATTAGTGGCAAGCCTTACTAAAATGAAATGCGCATGTGTAGATGACAATTTAACTGCGGCACTATTAGTGGTATAGCTGCAATATCTCTCCATTAACAAATAAAATTTGTTTTGTTTTCCCATTTAATAGAACAAGAAGTTTACAATGAGGGAAAAGGCGCAGAAATCTGAAAAGGATCAAAAAATTCGAGAGAAACAAAATAATAAATTAATATAAGTTTACAAAATAAATGCTTTAAAGCGAAACAAGACGCATTCAGCTTCAATCTCATTTTCTAGGCCATGCAATGAATCTATGTAAATGTGCAAAGTTGAACTGAACATTCTTATTTTATATATTGAATTCAACGCGATTTTGCAATTACCCAAATAGCAATTTTAGTTAAACTAGGTCGCTGAAAAATGCACAGAATTTGCCGATTTGATCAGTCTTAGACATCCGAGCGGGGCATTTTCAACAAATTCTATGCCATGACTTAAATCCCACGTATTCAGATTGATTTTTGCATTTCTTCCTGTTGCCATCGATCATTCCCTTTAGGCGTCGAATTTGTTAGAAATACTCTGTATCATGTATGGCTTATAGGTAGCAGACCTGCAGAGGGTGCTTCACAGAGACCCTTCGGGTGAACCGGTACAAGATGCTCAGTCTAGTAGGAATGTGAGTGAATTTTCCAAAGCTACTTAAAAGCGCTTTCTTTATATATTTTTCATGTTTTTGTTTCGGAACGGGGGTTTGTGTCGTTGTTTTCACCCTTATTTGCCCACATGGCCAGTAACTAAGAGTGGAAACCGATTTCAAAGATCATTATCATTTGTTTGTTTATTTCAGAGTTACTTTTGTAAATAACTGAGTTTCGATTTTGGGACACGGTTTTCTTATCACCCGATGCAGGAATTTAGTTGCTTGCACGGTCCTGCTCATATGTTGTGTTAATTAATAATCAAATTGTTTCTACTTATTCCCCGCCTATCAACCCCAATTAAATGCGGTTGGTTCAGTTAACATTATGATTTGTCTTTTGGGAAAGTGGCTGGGAATATCAGTGGAAGCAGGTGTAAATGTTGTGTCTAACAACACGTAGCTTAGTGTATAGTTGGTCTAATGTGGCTTGTAGGTGCTAGAACTGCAAAGGGTGCTCCACGCCGAAATTTCACCCTCTCAAGACCAAACTCGATCGACCATTCAGGCCACAAGCAGCCATGTGAGTCGCACTCACTAGCCTTTTCCGGCCTTTGTTCTTAATCTGTTTTCTCTTTTAACTGTGGAGTGTAGAGTTCTCATTCTTGATTTGATCTAATGTAAAGCGTTTCCTTTTTCCATGTGATCTGCCTATCTACTAATCGCAAACACAGAAGTACTGAACTAGGACTTAGTTTTGCTTTGAATGATCATAATTCAAGCCAGACTCCAGACCATGGTTTAAAGCTAACTTTATTTAACCCAAGTCCCGGTAACTAACCAGACTGAAACGGCCTGTTGTCTAACAGAATTAACCTTTACGAACTAACCGCTTGTTCTCTCTTGTGTGGTTTCGAATCCAGTTGTCAGCAATCTAAGCTCGCGAAACACAAAAACGCTTTCAAGCTTATCCTTTCATGTCTTTGGGCCAGTTTCAACAATGCATTTAGCCCTCCGACTCGCTAATTGTGCAAAAACCTTTGCTCTGTGTGTGCATTTGCATCTTAAACTCTCGGGGGCTTTCACAGGTTGTTATAAAAATGAGCAAACTCCTCAGGTAACGACAAGCTTTGCCACGAATTGGCACAGCTCTATTTTTGTTTGTTTTTTGATCGAGTGGGATAAACCAATCATTCAAGCCCATTGAACGGTGTCCTGACTGGCTCAAAGACCTTCTTTCCAGTCTATCCGCCTACTTATTACTGCAGCTTAACCTGCTCTAATCGGGGTTTCCTGAATTTTAGAATAAAGTGACGGAGAAGTTTAAAAGGCCCTTTAAAAAGCGCCATTCCAGTGTCTACCATCAGCCGTCCAATCGCGTGAATAAGTATCTGGCGCAGGCCATTGAAGCGCGAAGTGTGGATAGGGAAAAGTCCACTCATGTCAGCCTCTTCACATTGTGCTTCAAGGACAAGAACAAAGAAAGTCAAGTAAGTGATTGCAAATATTTTGTTTGCTTTTGGGATCCGCTAAAAGTCGATTTTCAGTATCACGGCGATTTGGACGTAGGCTACAGCTCCACTTTGGCTTGCGCTCTTGTTCTTCTTCTCCTGCTCGGCACTCTTCAGGCCACAGTTCTGCCCCGCACCATCATCCTGCTGCTGTTGTTCCTTGTGGCGTTCATCTGGATCTCTGCCCTGCTCATATTGCTGCTGGCAGTGCGCTTGAGGTGGATTCTATGGGATATTTCCCATAGTTTCGTTCTGCGACTGGCCATCACCATGTTCACCATCGTGCTAATCTACACAATGGCCCAAGTTAATGTGGTATGTACGAAGGAGCAAAATGTGCTTAGGTAGTGATTTCGGGCGTTTTAGTTCACGTGCAGGGCGGAGGAGCCGTGCATTTCCCACAGTACTCTGAACGTCACTCTGGATACTGGATCGCCCTTGGAAAGGGACCATCGAGCGTGCCCATTGCCTCAATACATTGTTCTATCTTGCGCTCTTGGGTACTTGGCAGTGGCCATCTTCTTGAGGCTCCCCATCCTACTGAAAGCTTCTCTCCTTTTTGTGATGTCCACCATTTACGTCCTCCTCATCGAGCTGTCTCATATCGACCTCTTCAACTGTTACGATAGCCGAGTGGGGTGAGTCTTTGCCGGTTTGGGTAATGGAGGATTTTAATCCCAGGCGGTTTCCAGATCAGTGATTCCAGTGCATGTGCTCAGCGTGGTTGAGGTGCTGATGTTTGTGCTGGCCGTTCTTCTACATGGCAGGCAAGTGGAATGGACGGCCAGGCTGGATTTTCTCTGGCAGGTGCAGGCCAACGAGGAAAAACGGGAGATGGACGCGTTGCAGCACTCCAATAAGAGGATCCTGTTCAATTTGCTGCCTGCCCACGTTGCAACTCATTTTCTGGATAATCAGTTCCGAAGCAATATGGTAAGAGTTATTGGCGCATTAACAGCCAGGGCTTTGCAGTCTTTCTCAACCAGAAGAGGATTGAACTTCGTTTTAGAAAACCCCCAAATTTTAGAGCTTTGCTCAAATTCATGGTCTGGATAGTAGACTTTCTTTTGTACGGTTTTGTCCTTTTTGCTGCCACTTGAACTTTCCTAGTTATGCTCTGGTTTTTAATGTACTTACCTGGAAAATTTTCTTTTTGATTATGTGTGGGCAACATTTATAATTTGATCTCATCTAAGTTGATGTTTTTCTGTTCTGTCAGTTTAATTTCCCGTTCTTAGATGTTGGCTGCACCCAAGTGCAAATTGACGAAATCCCAACCATTCTCTTACAGAATACTCTATCACAGGAACTGTACCATCAAAGCTACTCGCGCGTGGGTGTGGTTTTCGCTTCGATCACCAACTATCACGAGTTTTACACCGAACTGGATGGCAACAATCAGGGCGTCGAATGCCTTCGGCTATTGAACGAAATCATAGCCGATTTTGACGACCTGCTCAGCGAGGAGCGGTTTAAGGCGATCGATAAGATTAAAACTGTGGGTTCTACGTATATGGCAGCGGTTGGCCTGATGCCCGATCTGCGGATTCTGGACGAGGATGAGGCAACAGCTGGACTGCATCTGGGCACTTTGGTCGAGTTTGTGTTCGCCATGCGAGAACGTTTGCTCAACATAAACGAAAACTCGTACAACAACTTCATGCTGCGCGTCGGTGAGTTTGTGAAGCGTTTGCTGGGAGTCAATCCGCAGGGGAATTTTCTAGGTATCAACATTGGGCCCGTGGTGGCAGGCGTGATTGGGGCTCGAAAACCTCAATACGACATCTGGGGGAACACCGTAAATGTGGCGAGTCGGATGGACTCAACCGGGCTACCCAACCACACTCAAGTTACCGAAGAAGTTTACCAAGTGCTGAAGAATCATCCCTACGAATTCCAATGCCGAGGCAAAGTGAAAGTGAAGGGAAAAGGCGATATGACCACATACTTTTTGATCGACAGGAAGCAGCCCGGCACGTTACGAGTGGAGGAGTTGAATAGTATCCGAACCAACCCCAACAATGTTAACAGTAAGTTCAGCTCATTGCCTAACTTTTAATATAGGGTGATAATTTGGAAACTTGCAATCGCTACATCTGAGGAACATAAAAATAGACACAAAATTCTTTGGAACCGTTTCGATATTGAGTAGGAGCATCCAAACGTATGCATCATAGACCTGGGAGTTGTTGCCGCTCTCTGAGCTAACGAGTTATAACTCATCGGTTCATGAGTTATAAGTCATTTATTAAAGCTTTATGAGACCCGAGACTGGAATTTTCACATCTAAAAGAAGGTGATCAACATTTTTTCTGAGTAACATTTTTCTACTTTGCTCAAACAACTAAAAAAAGTCATCTAGATTTTTCCAAAGAAAGTCGACGAGTTTTCGTGTAAAATTGATCTCTTAATTTTTTTGCATAAAAGATTCAGTTTGTCAGTATTTTAGAGTGAAACGTTAGAAAAAAAGCTGTTTTTCTGTTTAGAGACGGTGTTGTTTAGAAATATTGACCTAAAAGTGAAGAAATACCACAAGAGTTTTCCATATAAATGATTATAAACTTTCACTTTTTCAGTTCGCCGAAATATTTTTGAAAAAACACCCAGAAATAATTATTACGGTTTTGTCCATAAGTCGAAGCTGCAAAAAGTTTTCCAAACATTTTTGCAAAGCGGTCAAGGAGGCGAGTGT